ACAGTGCAGAAAATAAGACAAATTGATTCAATAGGAAAATAAAGACCACAGAAAAGTGTCACATTGCAGGAAGACTCTCCTGTCTTTCTTCTTCTCTACATACCACTTTCAATATAAAGTTCCTTTTCTGGGTCTTCGCAGCTCTCTCCCATTCCTGCTGCTCCTTGCTTTGCTTCTGAACTGATTTTGGACATCTGTGGTCTTTGGGAGGTACGTGTACAAAGGTGGAAGAGTGGTTTTACACACTTGGGTGATAACAAGATAATACTTAAATAGCAATGCCTAAATTCTTGTCTACTCTCCACATTAGTATCCACAAAACCTACTTGTGTTAGGAAATAGACTCTGAATTTTCAGAAAAGAATCAAAAGAAAGTAAAACTGAAATCTGGCATGCTCTGTTAAACAAGCAAATAAATCTGTAGCTCATCTTATAGCCTAACAGCACATATAATCCAGGACTGTTATTGAATTTAATTAGCACCTAACTTCTAGATTTTCTTTCTATGGCAATATTATGTGGGCTGATCTGTGGAAATGTTGATTGTGATTTGCTGTGTAGGTAGGAGGAGTAGGCTAAAATGTAATGGATTTGTTCCTTTCCTATTCTGGGGTCCTATAACAGCTACTACATAGCTTTTTCCAAGCAGAAAATAATATGCTTTTTAATATATTAAAATGCTGCAAAATGTTTTCAAATGTGAATTTCTTTTTTAATTTATGTGTGCCTTTTGAAATAAATGCAGATCATTTCTAAGGCTGTGCCTGCCAGTTATTCTCCTGCCTTATATGATGGTGCTTCGTGTGATGTGTGTGACCTTTGATTTCTTCTGAGTTTTTAATGCTGATCTTCCTTCCTACAGGGACATTTGTATCAGCTTTCACAGTCTTGTGTGGAGCCCGGACAGATCTCCCTGACAGACACATTTGTTGTGTGTTCTGGTTGAATATTGCAGCAGCTTTGATTCAGATTCTCACAGCAATTGTGATGGTTGGCTGGATCATGAGTATATTTTGGGGGATGGACATGGTCATTCTTGCCAGTAAGTTTTTGTTCATGTTTGTTTGTTATTTTAATTATTAAGTGAGCTTGTGGGATGGGGGTCCTAGTTAGATCAAATAGTTCTCTAACAGCTGCAAACTCTTTTTTTGTCTGAGTTGATACCTATCTGTTTGTAGAAACAAGCTAAAGAGAGAAAAAAAACACTTCCTTCTCTTTTTCCCTAATATTTCTTTGACAATACTAGGATATAGGATATAGAGAATAGCTTTTGTCATGGAGTGATCTCTAAAACACTTTCCTTCACATTCTACTGGTTTTACAAGTGTACCGTACTTGTTCTCTATACTAATCAAGCAGTTGGCTCCCAGTAACCATAAATGGTACATAAGGGCAATTACGATTTGTCCATTTTAAAAAAAATCAGTTTAGCCATCTCAATTACCAAAGGAATTCAAGGCAGTATGCAGCAACATAGTAAAAACAGATGATAACAAACCTAACAAAAAGCAGTGTACCAGTAGAGCTTCTCATGAGGGAAATGTTAATATAATTATATGGCTAAAAATTAAATGTCATAAACTGGGTCGCAAAGGAGCCTATCCAGGGGCCTGATCAAAAAGTAAGGTCTTCAAGGCTTTCCTAAATGCAACTGGGTCCCAAGTAATGCTCTTTCAGAGGGCAGTACAGATATAGAGAAGGGGTCTCTGGGGTCCCGTAAGATAACACTCCTTTCAGCTATGGGACCTGGAACATGCTTACTCTACAATATTTACTAAACAAGCACACAACCAAACCATAGAGAGAAAAAGATACCCATGGAGTTAAGATGAAGGTGCCAACTAGCATGCTGAACTGCAACTGGAAGCCAACTGGTAACCAGTACAGCTTGCGAACTAGAGGTGTCACATGGGTGAAATGATATGCATCTGCAGCTACTCATGCTACTTCATTCCAACTGCAGCTTCCAGGAGCAACCCCAACTGGAGCATGTTGTAGTGGTACAAACAAACAAAAATATCTAAAACCTGAAAGACTATGGGAAGGGCCTCCCAAATCAGAAAGAAGCATACATAGCTAACTAAATGTATTTGTGCAGAAAGCTCTCTTGGTCATAGCTGCCACTAACCCCCCCAAATTGTGCCTGGATTACTGCAATGCAATTGAGAACTAATATTAGAAAATCTCTAGAACAGAAGGTCCTTGCATCTTCAGTGTTGCTAGAATTGTGAAGAAAACTCACCAAGGCTGAGAATGAAAACAAAGTATTTCAAAACATAACTAATGAAGAGCAGATGGTTGTTTCAGTGTCAGGCTTATTTGGGAAAAAATGGTGCTTAGTGCTTTAGTTTCACAATCTGGGAAAAAAGGTTCAATAATTCAGTGATCCCACCTTAATGAATTCATTCCTAAATGTAGGTAGGAATTTTGCTTATTTGGTTTCCAAAGTTCTATATCAGGGGTCCTCAAACTTGGCAACTTTAAAACTTGTGGACTTCAACTCCTAGAATTCTCCAGCCAGCATAGTCCACAAGTCTTAAAGTTGAAGTCCACAAATCTTAAAGTTGCCAAGTTTGGAGACTTCTGTCTATATCAGTGGTTCCCTAAGTGGGCAGTACCGCCCCCCC